AAAATTTTGGAAGATTTCACGAAAGGAAATTCAAGAAAATCGCGATTAAAGCCATAAAAAAAGTGAAAAAACAATTTTTTTTTGGGCATTTCTAATTCAAGACTAAAACCAATAATTTTAACAGAGATGAGAGTAAAACACTATTTAATCATTGCTTATTACATGTAATTAGTTTGAGAGGACTGGATATAAATACGAATGCAAAAACAGCATTCAAAACATAACACTTGCGCGCGCAACGCCATAAATGATTACCCTCCTTAAGTCAATGTCTTTTTAAGAAAAGTAGAGGCGGGGTGATTTCACCCCGAGGTAAATTTTGTTCATTTGGTTTTTAGACAAGGAAAAAAGAAACAATCTATCACGATATAACGATTATAACAACATGAAGATATATTTTTTCGTCTTACAGGTCTCATGGCTGATTCTTTGGGCTCGTACACGCATGCCTTTTACATGTCTGGTGCTGTGGTAATCGCAGGCGCGTGTATACCTTTCCTATTGCTGTTTATTGCTAGGACGAAGGAGTCTCGGGAGACATTACCAGATCTTTGGCATTTCAATGAAGCAATGGACGATATTTCTGTTACTATGGACCCGAGGCTAGGAGAAGAGACTAACACTGATTCACGGTGGAGTTCAATCGTTTTCCCGAGTTCTGTGTAACTTACCATATGTCTTGACAGGGACTGGAGTTTTCTGTTCTGCGCAGTAGAGGCAGCCGGGCGTGGAATTCGAGACGCTGTGATGTACAAACAAATATCCATTAAAATGCGCGTAGCGAAATACAGAAACAAGCATACCGGTGTATATAATAACCTATATTAAGATATTTTATTCCACGCGAGGGACTCCCATATAAAAAGAATGGGGGTGCTGGTCGGAAATTTTGAAAAAAATAAAAAATAAAAATAAAACCCTAATAGGTACCAAGATCCTATTTTGTGGGCGTGGCTTGAAATATTTTCACCACTCAGAGGTATCAATTTTAAAACAACATATTGACTGGCACTGTCATAGGTTTTAATAGCGTTAAAGAGATTGATTCGAATACCTTTTACAAGTTGAT